TATGATCTACTCCTAGGCATTTAGACAAGAAAAACAAATGCACACATCCACAGAGACTTGTAAATGACTGTTCCCAGCACTTTATATGAAAGAGCCCCAGCTAGAAATCCAAATGTCTATCTGAAGATCAGTGGATAAATAAACTGTGGGATAGTCATAAAATGAAATACAAGTTAGCAAAAAGAAAAATTATCAACAAACGTGATATAATAAATATCAAAATAATTATACCAAGTGAAAGAAGTCAGAGAAAAAATAATGTATCATATGACTTCATTTATGTAAAATTCTGGAAAATGTACATTATTCTATAGAGATGGAAAGTAGATCAGTAGTTCTCTAGGGAGGGGATGCAAGAGATTTTAAGGAAGCAGAGGGAAACTTTGGGGCATGATGGATACCTGGTTATTTTGGTTTGATGATTGCTTCACAGATGAATAGATACAAAATACATCAAGTTGTACACTTAACATACAATTGTAAATTAAACATCAACAAAGCTATTTTTGAATATCATAAAGAAGGGAAGGGAGAAAGAGCAATACAATACAATGGTGGGTTTTAACTATCTTAGAGATTTAAACAAAGTGAGGTAAGAAGCCAGGAATGGGGGAAGGGTTTTAGGCATAAGAGACAGCAGCAAAGGTTTTGAAGTAGAAAATTGCTTGACATGTATAAGGAACAGCATATAGGCCAATGTGACTGAAACAATGAGAAGAGCAAATGGTTGCTGCGTGGCATGGAAGAAGGTAGGAATAAGTCAGATATGTATTTGTGGGCCAATATAAGGCATGGCTCTTAATTCTTAGTGAGACGGAAGTCAATGTGAGGTTTTGATTAAGAGGTGGCATAATGTGACAATTGTTTTTTTAAAGATCACACTGGGTTCTATGTGGAGAATATCCTCTTGAGAAAGCAGCATGAAATCAGAAAAACCAAGAAGAAAGGTTCTCTAGCAGTCCAAATGAGTGAGAGTCATGACATTGACTTGGGGAAGAGGAGACTGTGAAAACTGGTTAGATACTGGATATATTAGGAAGGAAGAGGTAATGAGGTTTGTTGATTGGTTGGATTTAATTTGCAAAAGAAGGGAATTAAGGATGATTACAGGTTTTTAGCCTGAGGAACTGGACAAATATAGATAGTTAAGAGAGATGAAAAACACTAATATAGAAGCAGCCTATTAAGACTTTTCTCTCTCAACTTTCCCACAGTCTTATAGCCTAATGCTACAAGATTATTCTGCCTAAACTATCACACTATAATTATAGTACTATAGGGTTTAGGAATCTGCTTTGGTTTTCCTTTGCCTTATCCATCTCTAAAAGGTTAACAAAGTACTTTCCCTAAAATAAAGAGATGAACAAATACTTGTAAGGAGAGGAGGAAGGATAAAGATAAGTTAAAAAAGATCATATCAATGCAGAGACTACTGTACTAGAGTAGCCAGCATAGTCCCTTCCTCATCCCATTCCAGTAAGGAAGGAGACATGATTGGCAACTACCCAAACACCATGAATCTTTATCCATAGCATAGTCCCAAATTCTTGAGAGCTTGAGAGACAAGAATAAATATGATAAAAGGAGAAGTAGATCATATATACAACATGACTGCCAAGTGCAGGCACTGCTAAATATTTCACATTTTTTAAAACCCTTCAAAGGCTCTACAGTGATGTTAGGGTAAAGTCCAATCATCGAATATGGTTTGCAATATTCTCTTCTTCCTCATGCTTCTGCTTTATTGAACTACATATTCTAACATTAGCACTTTGCCAGTGCTCTTCTTCCTGAATAGAATATCCTTTTCTTTTTCATGTGTATCTGGCTAATACTGACCCATTCTTGAGTCTTCACATGTAATACTTCCCAAGGAAAAGCTTCTCTATATGAGTCTGAAGCTCCTTCCATATAAATCTTTGCTTTCTTTATGCAAGTATTTATCATACTATATCAGTGGTTTACTTCTCTGATCCCACAGACTTAAATTCACAAAGGCAGAGTCTGTGTGTCTTTTTTTTTTTTCCCCCCCAGTGGGACTGGAGTTTGAACTCAGGACTTTGCATTTGCAAAGCAGGTGCTCTACTTCTTGAGCCACAAATCCAGTCCATTTTTCTCTGATTATTGTGGAGATGGGGTCTTGCCAACTATTTGCCAGGGCTAGCCTTGAACCATGACCCTCCCGATCTCAGCCTCCCAAATAACTAGGATTACAGGTCTGAGCCAGAGTCTGTATTTCTTATTTCTCAATATATCCCCAATCTTAGCAGAGTACTTAGCCTATAATTACTGCTCAATAAATGAAGTGTAAGAGATTTAGAAATATACTGACTTAGAAAGAAAAAGTGGTCAGGTTAATCCACGACATGCTGATATTGAGGCAATGTTAAGACAACTAAAGAGTGATGTTTTGTATACCGTTGGGGGAAAAAAAGATGAAGTTGGGTTGAGATGGGCTAAGCACAATTCAAGTATAATATAGGATTGACTTAAGACTAAAAAAACCCAGGGGATTAAAGAAAATGACTATATGGACAGTAACCTTAACTTGTTTCATTTTGTCTAAAAAAAATAACTGGATATTTCCTGGTCCTGGTCCTGATAACCCATCAAGTAAATCTTCTGCCAACTAAATTTCCCTTGTCACCTCATAAGTTTAAGATAAAAATGGGAGCCTCAAATAAGGCCTCCATTTACCGGAGACCCTTAGATAGGCCTCTGTGAGTAGGCCCTGACTGCTATCCTCTACCAATGCCCCTTTCTAGCTTGAAGTAGCCAAAGAACGGTCATTGCCCTATTCCCTAACAGCAGTTATGGTTACTTCTAAGGATTATTTCATCAGAAGGGAGAATAAGACAGATGAAAGGGACCCTGGAAACCTCCATTATGACCTACCTGTGACCTTAAAGAGTGGAGAGAAAAAAAGGCAGGCCACATAGCATGAGGATTAGGACCCCCTAATAAGAACATTGCAGGCACAGCTAACCAAAATGCTTTCTGCACACCTAATTAGCATAGAGACTGAGCTATGCCCCGGGAGAAAATGGGTAAAAACCTAAGTGTCATTTCTCAGGGACTTCCCCAGCTATAGGGGCTCTACTCTTCTACTTTATACTTTTCTATCTCAATAAACTCTCCCACTTCACACTTTAAAAGAAGAAAAAACACAGGGTTCAGGATCGGTATTTGGGTAAAAGAAAGAAGAGAAACCAGTGAGTGTATGAAAGAAACAAAATAAAGAATTGCTTTGGTTTGGATATGGTTGATTCCCCAAAGGTTCATGTGCTAGAAACTTGGTCCCTAGTGTGGCAATGTTAAGAAGTGGTAGAACCTTTAATGGGGGTGGGGGTGTTAGTGTAAGGTAATTAGGTCATGAGGACAACACACTCAAATGAGATTAATGCAAATTTTATAGGAATGGATTAATTCCCAGAAGAATGGGTTGTTATAGGGTCTAACACCCTCTGTGTTTTCTTTTGCATGTGCTTACCACTGTCATATTCCCACCACTGTGCTGCCATCTGCAATGACACTCTCACTACAGTTGAACAGATATCAGCATCATGTACCTGAGTCTTCAGAACTGTGAGCTAATAAACCTCTTCTCATTATATAAGTACTCAGCCTTAGGTATTCTGTTATACAGCAATATAAAATGACTAAGATAAGAACAAATCACTGTGAATGCCAGAAGAACAAAATAACAGTGTTACAAAAGCTAAAGAAAAAGAATAAAAAGGAATATGTGCCAAATGCTAAGGTTAAATCAAGGAACACTATAATAACTGCTCAATCCACCATGGAGATCATGTCTATTTTGCTTATCTAGAAGCTAATATGGTGTCGAGCACATATGGAAAAATTAACAACTATTTATTAAATGCAGGAATATATAACTAGAATCTCACTCTTTAAAATGTTAACTTGTAGACTAGAAAAAGACTAAATTTTATCTGCTCAGAAATCCTACCCTTAACTACTTATTAGCCAACAGTCATTTTTTACTTTGAAAACTTAATGTTTGGCCTAATTCTTTAATTTTGTTGTAGTATATATTTTTTTTTAAAAAAAATTACTAATCTGTTCTTACCCATTGTCATTACAAGAAAGTTGTAGGTTTGAGAGTCGCTTGAGAAAGGAACTGCTCAGACCTCATATTCTAGTTGGGCTGCATTTGGGTTGTTCCTCATATTACAGCATCTGTGTTGGCCTGGGAACACTAGTCTACATACTGAAGACAGTTCCATGTCAGAAATAACCTGTTTTAGGGATCTAAGTAGTGACCAGAAAACCCTCAGGGGAAACATTAGACAAACCTGAAATTAATCTAAAGAAACTACAAAAAATAAATCATTTTCATAGTTAAGTCAGACTGTGTAATAATGCCATTCATAAAATAATGACTGTGGCACTGATTACAGATTATAAATCTGAGGTGTTCAATGAAAACAGAAGTAACTGGAATACTAGGCAGGGGGAATCTTACCTTAGGATGAGATAAATATCCACATATTTGAAAGGAGAGAGAAATATAACAAAGGAGAAATAATACTTGAGGAAATAGACATGTGTGTAGAAGGATGCAACAGAGAACGCTAAGGTGGAATTGAAAAAGATAGGCTATTACAGATGTGAAGGATGTGTGGCAGATGCATCAAAATGAAGTGGGGAGCTAATAAAAACAATGACACAGATGGACTCCCAATCTCAGTAGGCCGAGGCCACAAACATGTGGGAGGCTAGAGAGACACCTACAGAAATAATGCCAGGGGGAGGGGGGCTGGAAGGGAAGGTGTGTGTGTGTGTGTGTGTGTGTGTGTGTGTGTGTGTGAGAGAGAGAGAGAGAGAGAGAGAGAGAGACAGAGAGAGGAAGGGAGGGAGAGGGGAGAGAGGAAGAGACAGAGACAGAGAGAGGTATTGGCATTTAATTCAACTAAGAGTAAAGAAAAAAAAGAAATGAACAAATAATGTGGCAGCCCACAGCTGGTCTAATAACTCACCTGATCATATCCATAAGGCCTCTGCTGGGGTGGCTGTGGTGGTCCAGGCTGTGTTGGTCTATAACCCCCATACTGCTGCCCTTGTCCCTGTGGATAGTTAGGATACTGAGGACCTGGACCGCCCTGAGAAGGACCTACAAGATAATTAACAAAAACAAAAGCCCAGGTAAATATACATTAAGTCTCTGAGTTTCAGCAGGTTTAAAACTACATGGTACTCTATTTTTTTTATCTAAACTAAAAAGGGTAATTTGGTACATTGATTTTCTCAAATGCTTTGTGAAATAAATTTGAATGGCTATAGTAAGAGCGAAAACATAGCACAAGAATAGTAGTGCATGCCTACACTCCCAGCTACTCAGGAGCTGGAGAACAGGAGGATAATGGTTCAAGGACAAACTGGGCAAAAAGTCAGTAAGACTCCATCTGAACCAACAAGCCAGAAGTGGTGGCATGTGTCTATAATTCCAGTTATGAGGTAGGCATAGGTAGGAGGATTGTGGTACAAAGCTGGCCCAGGCAAAAACATAAGACCCTATCCAAAAAAAAAATAACTAAAGCAAAAAAGTGTTTGGGGTATGGCTTAGGTGACAGAGCAAGCACAAGACCCTAAGGTCAAATCCCAATACTGAAAAAAAGTGAAAATACTGTAATATTACTTCAATGTAACTATTGTTGCATTGTGATCTAGCTATCACTGAATGTATACATCAAAATGCGTAAGAAAGACTCACAGAATTATAAACTAGGTTAACTCCATGATGATAACAAAATGAATCTATACATCTATTGAAGAATAAGCCAGTGCAATCAAGAGGCAAAAGAAAAATAAGAGGCAGATTCAAAAGATAATGAAATAGTTTCTGAATAAAGCTTGGGAATCCATGATATTTATAGAAGTATGACTCTAGATTTACCTTTGTAATCACAAAATAACCACATGGCTGTATTTTGATCAACAAACTTATTATCACAGCATTTTAAAATAGAAAGTAAAGACTTGAAAAGCCACAGGTTGCATGTGAAAAAGCTAGATTCGAAAGTTACACTCTGAGAATCAATTACCTTTAATACTTTATCCATAAAAATGATTTCAAGTTCCAGAGATGGCAAGAGACTGATTTGCTATGCTAACAAATGTCTATTCTATAAACTCTACTATTGTCTATTGTACAGAATGCTCTATAGAACACAAGCTAAAAGCTTTGACACTTAAATGTCTTCCACCACAACCATTCAAAACGTGACAGAAAACAATGGCTACAAAGCCAAGTTTCAAGAGAGAACAATAAAATTTCAATCTTAAATAAATTGTATCAGTGATTATTTATTTATTATACCTTCAATTATTAAAACTCTTAAATTTTATATTAGAAGAAAATTTGACAACTGGAGCCTATGAATAAGCAAAATGGGAATTTCTCCTTTAGGATTCCTGTTTTATAAAACAACATTTAACTATTAACTAAAAAGTAACTTTTTTCCACCCTCTCTTCTTAATGAAAACTTCATTTCTCAAGTCAATGAATTTAACTGATTTAGACACATCATATTTGTTTTCATATACATGCAGTAAAATCGGAATAATGGATTTATTCAAAGTACAAATACTAAAAAGTCATGGAAGGGAAATATTTGGGAAGGACAAGAAAGCCCTTTCCTGAAAACAAGAGAACCACAGACTATTTCTAAAGTCACATCTAGAATCAAAGAACCACAACCTACCTTCCTTGGGAAAATTCCTGATTCTCCCAATATCTGAAAGTTTCAAAGTGTATGTTGAGAGAACAAAAGCGTATGAGCCTCACCTTGGATTCTTAGATTTTCTATCATAGGTAGACAGGCATGGCCGTAGTAACAGAAAAGCTTAAATCACTGACTGAATTAGACTTAAGAGACTGCCCAAAGAATGGGAGAAAATCTTTGCCAAACAGTCATCTGATAAGGGACTAATATTCAGAGATTAAAAGGAATTAAAAAAACTCAACCCCCAAAGAATTAATAACCCAATGAAGAAACAGGCACATGAATTGAATAGGGAATTTTCAAAGGAAGATGTACAAATGGCTAATAAATACATCAGGAAGTGTTCAAATTCCCTGGCCATAAAAGAAATTTCATCTCACCCCATAAGATTTCATCTCACCCCAGTTAGAAAGGTTGTCATCAAGAATACAAACAACAAATGTTGGTGAAGCTGTGGTGAAACAGGAACCCTTATACACTGTTGGTGGGAATGTAAATTAATATAACCATTATGGAAAGCAGTATGGAGATTCCTTAAAAAAACTAAATACAGAACTGCCATATGATCCAGCAATATCACTCTTGGGCATATACCCAAAGAATGTTAAGTCATGATACAATAGACACACTTGAAAACAACAACAACAAAAAACAGAGCTATTTGCACACCAATGTTTATTGCAACACTGTTCATTAAATAGACAAGCTATGGAAATAACCCAGATGCCCTACAACTGCTAAATGGATTAAGAAAATGTGGTGTGTGTGTGTGTATATACATATATGTAGAACATGTTTGTAATAGTACTCTTTGGAACTTGAGGGAGGTGGGAAAGGAAAAGAGAATGATAGTCAACAGTATCGAAATGCATTACATCTGTACAGGTACAGTAAATAACAACATGTATTGAAGGCTGTAGAATAATAGTGGGAATGGGAAGGAAGGGGTAAGGAAAAATAATGTAAGGGGCTGAACTGACCAAAGTAGAGTATACTCACAGTGTGGATATTTTGAGAAATCCCTTTGAACATTGACTTTGGAATTAATAATGAAAGACAAGACTGTAAAATAGGTACAGTGTGGGTGGTTACTGTGAGGGAGAGGGTGAATGAAGGAGATGAAGGAGGGAATATGGTTAATGGGCTTCATATACATGTATGAACAGAATGATGAAACCTCTTGCAATTGCCTTAAGTGGTGCAGGGGAGGGTTTGGGGTGGGGCATGGTGGAGGTGATCAACCAATGTACAATGTTAAGCCTATTTGGAATTGTCACAATGAATAACTCCCCTCCCATAACAATGAACATATTCTAATAAAAATGGGAAAAAAATAAAAATAGTAAGATATTACTCATGTAAAAAAAAATGGACTAAGTTAGCCAAGAGATGGTATTGTATTAATAAGTAGCTACTTCTCTGTCATTAGAACCTGACTTTCCTATATCTCAAGTAGTTATAGTAGCCTAAAATTTAATACTGAGATAACAGGTCCTCATTCCCCACTACTTACCTAATAAATCAAAAGTAGTATTTACAATCAGATATCCAGGCAGTACATTTCTTTTTCTTGTGGTGCTAGGAATCAAATCTAGCTAGAGGCAGTAGATATGATAGTGAGTACTTAACTGGAAAATATGGCTATACTTCCCTAAACTCTGTATGATACATAACTGCAGTAAATACACTTCAATGGGTGTGCATAATGCTTTTAAACTAGAGTGACAAAAACATTTTTCTTTATTCACTTTGAGTAGGTATCTTCATTTGTACTAAAAAAATATCAATGTTATGTTTTGTAGTAACAGTCATTAGTTTTTAGAAACAAATATGGCTAATAATCACCCATCATCATTTTCTAAGCACATACAAAAGCTACTGACTGGTCAGGAAAATGAAATAGGTCTAAGAATTTATTTTTTCTTGGTTTTCCAGTAACTATACATCTTATCTTTGGTCAATAAACCACTTCTAGTTTGTTCTTTTGTAGTTCTTATTAAATGGATAACTAGCATATCTAAGAGGAACATTTTAAATGAATACACTAATAGTTAACTGGGCTATATTTTCCAAAAATAATTCATGTAAAAAACATCTACTTCCAATTTCAAATTAGTAACCAGTGCATTTCCTGGTGGAAAAATAAGCTGCAATAAGCTATTACCGTAGCCCTGTTGCTGTCCTGGGTAGCCCTGCTGCCCTGGGTACTGCTGTTGCTGGGGTGGATATCCTTGTTGTGGAGGTGGTCCTTGGTAAGCATCTTGTTGTTGGCCATATTGTGAATTTCCTACAGGATAAATGAAGAGGGGAAAAAAAAAACACTGAGAACTTTGCTTAATTAACTTTTTCCCCTCTAAGATGCATAGCCAACAACACAAGAACAAAATGAAAATGCCATATTGATTTTTTTAAGTTAACAAAACAAAGAAAAAACTCAAACCAAACAGAAGGATTTCGGCCAAACAAACTGCAGTTAAAGCCAATTTTGCAAGGTTGAACTGCAGCATTTTCAGCGTCTCTGCCATACGAGCATTACATTTACTGGAACATCACAGTCATAAGATCATGACTATGCTAAATAAAATAAAAAAGACAAAATTAAAGACAGCTACAAGAGCACACACTAGCTACACAAGATCAGCAAGCTGTTTCCTAAAGGCACTATGCTTATATGTAAAATTATACATAGGTAAACACACATGAGAAAAAAAATTGGATTGACGGATTTATGTTCAAATAGAAATTTTCCACTGAGGAAAAAATTATTTTTAAATGTTTTAGTCTTTTTATTGATGTTAGAAATGGCAAGTCATGGTTATACATTTTAAATATTTGTAAGGAAATTATTTTGATTGTTTTGGGCTTCCTGTACTTTCAAGACAGCCAGCAACTAGTATTCTACAAGAGCTTTGCATGGGTAGAAGTTGTCTTATGCAAGAATTTTCATTCCTGTAGAAGGGGATATATATGTGTATGTGTGTGAAGGTATATAGATACCTCCTTCGTAGTAATGTTGTGAGGAATCCTCATAAGGCCTATCGTAGCCTTGTTCAGGATACGACGGTTGCTGATAACCGTAATCATTATGACCTACATCAATTCGACAAGAGACAGGAAGAAACGTTAATGGCCACTGAGTGAAAACCCTAAAAATATTTCAACTTTCAGATAAAACTGAAAAAAAAAAAAGAAAAAGAAATGGAAATACATAAAAATAATTTTAATCGCGTTAGCTAAATATTTACCAATGTGATTGTTTTCAGAGATAACGTGCAAAATTTTTTAAAAGTCAAAAGCAGTAGTTTTAGAAACATTACACTTATTCTCTTAACTATACTTATCCTCTTTAAGGAGGAAAAAAACTCTTCTATTTTAAAAAAAAAGAGAATGAAAGCATTTAGGCCTTTCACATGTAAATAAATTAAAACAGAAAGAACAAAGGAAGCAATTATCATATTTTGTCAAACACCTGTTCTGCTGGTCTCCAATTCCACAGCATATGCTAAAAACAATGCAAAATATGAAAGAGCTCTATAAGTTTTTCCCTTGAAACTGAAACAATTTTTTCACTCTTTTTCTTATATAAAGTATAGGTATCTCAAAGTAGTTTCAGATGCAGTAGTTTCTTAATGGTGTCATTTTGGAAGTTTTTAGAAACCATTTCTACAGTATTATAAGTATATACCTTCTCAAAATTATTATTATATTGAGTGTTAGAGTACTCCTTTAGTTTTATGATATAATATATTTCACCTGTAAGGTAACTAGATTCTGTTCTCAACCTACTAACCTTTCAGGTTGCTAAAATGTGAACTAAGTTTTTCAAGAATGCCTAATTAAGAAAGAAGGAATATAGTTACAAACAAATATTATACTCAGTGCTCTAGTATTTGAATGTTCCCAAATCACTACATAAATATCTACATCAAGGGTTGGCAAACTATGGCCTGTAGTTTTAATATGGCCAGTGGCCTGTTTTTATATATAAAGTTGTGTTGGAATACACTATGCCTATTCATGTAAGTATTGTCTACAGCTGCTACCCTGCTACAGGTAAGCGTTGAGACCAAGATCATATGGCCCACCAAAGGCTAAACTATTTACCACCTGGCCTTTTACAGAAAAAAATCTGCAGACTCCCATCCAGCTATTCGTTAGCATAAATGTTTGTAGAGAAAATACCCAAAGCTGCTTAAGAAAATAATTGATGTAAATAGAATGTTTACACGTCAAGACATTTTTATACACATCAATGTAAAAATGATACCATTAAGTAAAAAAAATTTACTAATATAATAAAATAAATTATAACTTTAAGGTTCTGACATTTACAAAAAATAACATACCTATCTATTTTGAGTAGAAAGGTTATGTTTATAAGAAGACAAATTTCACATTTCAGGAAATACTCAGGAACAAAAATTTTCAGCAGATGTCTTAACAAATATAATACAACAAAGCAGATTTCACCTCTTTAATATACCTACAGTCTACTATAACTAAAGGTTTTTAATTTAAAAAATCTTAATACCTTATCTAAGGAGAGGAAAAAGAAAAAAGCAACATCTCAACTAATTCAAGGCAAGAAAACCTGAGATCAAACAATATATCGTTCTAACCAGAATTATTTATATGCATAATATCATCACTAATAAACATTTATTGTATGTAAAACTCAACAGTTTAAGTGTTTACCCTCTATAGTCAGAGCCTGGACATTAAATATTAGTGCTGTTAGGTTACCTTTATTCTTTTCATACACATTGATGAAAACTGACAGGTGAAATAAATTTTCAAATACACCAAATTTTATCTTCTTGCTAGCTTACATTAGTTTCTAGCCAATGGCTCCTGACACATCAGCTTTAAGTTTCTTAGTTCTTCCTTTATAAATACACCACAAGGTGCCTACTCACATAAAAAAATCTTCTGGCAAATCCTTTGATAATGAGACAAATTACTTTGCAATATAACCAATTGCTTTCAGTTTTATACGTTTGGATTACTTTTTTCAACACTGTAGAATTTTCAAACAGAAAAACTGAAAGAACTGCACAATGAAAACCTATGTATATATGTGGATTATTACTGTTTAGATTTTCTTAAAGTGTAGTATTTCTTCACTGATCAGTTTTTCATAATCCACCTTTCTACGTGGAAAAAAAAGCAACTAAACTAAACAATCTAAACTCTCACTTTCAAATGCCTTACTTATTCTATGAAACTATGTATAGCTACATAATGGATATAATTTAGACCACCCCAATTTTTTTCAAATGTATGCACTAACATATATAAGTAATAGGTGAAACTTGGAAAATATTTAAGAACTATACTCTATATGTATTTACACAATGCATAAAAATAAATCAATGGGTGAACTTTAAAGTGTGTAAAAAAAACTTTAAAAAAGAAATGTATCAGTAATATTTGCTTTGGCTCAAACGAACAATCCTAAATATAAAAATGAACCTCATTTATGTAAGAAATGATTCCAATAGCAGAATGTGATTCCTGAAGGTACTAATGGAATAGCAACACAAAATATTTTGAATTAGATTATAAACTAATGCTATCATTGGTACTTTAGATTACTGAATTGTGGTAAATGCAGAAGAAACAAATTGGTAGTTTCTTCATCTTTAAAGTAGCTTTCTACATTAATATTGGGCAGGGGTAGAAAATGGGAAGGTTAACATTAGGAGAGATTACCATCAGGGTAATATTGCTGGTTCATGCCTTCTGGAGGACCTTGTCCACCATGACTGTATTGGTCCCCATAATAGTCTTCCTGGCCTGAGTACTGCTGTGGTGGGCCTGAAAAACCACAACCAGTCAAGATGTAAATAATTTGTTCTCTATATCATCAAAAGCTTTCTTTCTAATCTGCTGTTATCAGAGAGAATTTCTCAGCTGTAGATTTCCCTCCAAAGCTTTGGCATGTCTGATACTTTTAGTTACACACACACATACACACACCAGTTCCATACACATTTACACACACGCATACAACCCAGTTCCATACATATTTACTAAAATTGTTAAGACCATACATGGAATATCAAACAATACCAATTCAGAAAAACAAATACACTAACTTCTTAAAAAAGAGGTTCAACCTGACAGAAAAACAATTTCCTTTTTTTTCTGGCATTAGTGTTCTTTGAATAGAACTGGTGTTCCTGGTCACATATTTAGTAACTTCTAAAAATGAAAGGCATTTTCTATTGTGAATTAGTGAGCTTTTGATATAAAATTTTATGATGTAACCTTTTCCCAGAAAATAACAGGTAAAAGAAACCTTGTATACTTGGAAGTTCCTATCTACTTCGTGACCCTTTGTACCTCCTATACACTATCTTCTGGGGGGTTGGGGTAGAATCAAGAAACAAAAAACCTTGGCTTTGTCTAGATAAAAAGTCCATTAAAATTTAAAGCCTTTCCATTACAGTTATTTACATTAAGTGGGAAATTTTCCCAATGGAATCTTACCCTGCTGAGGTGGTCTATAGGGAGGAATCTGTCTCTGACCCATCATATGATTGCCTTGGTTAACTTGACCCATCATTCCCATGGGTGGCTGCTGTCCTTGGTAATGTTGCCCACCTCCCTGTGGCATATTGTACTGCTGAGAAGGAGGCTGCTGATGCATCATTGGACCTGCAAGTAGATAAAACATTATACAGGTAATTTTTTGGCATGTATTTTCATCATCTTGAGAGAAATACAAGAATTTTTTTTTTTTACAAACTAATACACAAAATGTATGATCAAACATAATAAAAAACTGACTTCAAATGAAAACAAGTCTTTGGTTTTTTAAAATTCGTATTTATTATTGTTGTACTGGGGGTACACTGTGACATTTAAAAAAGTTCTTATAGTATATCATAGTTGAATTCACCCCCTCCATCATTCTCCTTTTATAATCCCTCCATTTAACAGGTCTAATTTTTCCATTTACATACAAATGTACATAATATTTTCACCATATTAACCCTCCTACACCCTTCCCTTATATACTCTCCCCTCCCACTAAAAACAAGTCTTTGAATTAAAGATTACATGGCCAAAATAATCTGCAAACAAGGAAAGACAACCAGTCCATGGTAGGTGACCTGAAATCCACTGGAAGAATATTCTAGTTGTTAAAAAAAAATGGATACAATATATGAAAATTCTGAAAGATTTTCTATAGAAAAAATATTACCCTTCAGTTATACCAGAAAAGATACTCAAAGTAAAATCACAAAAATTACACAGCAAATCAACAGTCAAACCAGGGAAAGGAAACCAAATTCTGGATTTCCATTTTATCTTATTTTTCAACAACCACTTATAAGGTAGGGAACTACACAAATATTTACAAATATGTTCGTAGAATTTCATAAACTTTAATTTTATAGCAAAATATTAAGAGGTCTTTCTTTCCTTTTTCTAAATCTTTTGCAAGCTTTATGAACTAAGAAGTTTTCCTGGAATCAAAGGGCTATAGGGCTTCCTAATAAATTACTAAAACTCTTTCTTCCTAACTGCTCTCATCTTAAAAACACTTAGGCAAATAACTGCAATAAGCCTTAGGCTCAGAAATTTGAACTACACAATTTCTAGAGTAAGCAAGAACAGGGTAGCCAAACTATGATACGGTGTCACAAAACACTAAAAAGCTATCATATAAAATAACCAACAATCGGGCTGGTGGAGTGGCTCAAGTGGCAGAGCACCTGCCTAGCAAGTGTGAGGCCAAGTTCAAACCCCAGTGCCACAAAAAAACAAAACAAATAAACAACAATAAACAAAAACACAATGGCTATAACTCCCATGCTGCCACCTTAAAATGTAAGCAGTTCTTTAGAGGTTCACTGGGCCATGTTACGATGTGGGGAGCTCATCACTCTACTATTGTAACCATTACTTTCTCAGAAGTATATGTGAGTCATCTCCCAGTCTCCTGTTTACACAGCTACATATTCCGTCTTTACTGACTTCGGGACAATTTAAGAAGAAAGTTCAAAAGGATAAGACTTAGAGCCTGGAAAAGTTTTACAGGCAAAATTGCCCAGGTGAGCCAAAACCTCATTGTTTAATTATCTAAAACAATGTAACAATTATTTAAAACAATTACAAAAATGAAAAACCAAGCAAGTCCACCTCTTTAAATCTAATACTGACCTATAGTATCAGCAACAATGTAAGTAGAAAGACTTTATCTTCTTTTTAATGAGAAGAACTATTTTATCTGAAGAAATGCTTTTACCGAGATAATTTCCCCTCCATTCACCTTATTCTGTCCTCGTACTTCTTTTCTTTCTGTTCTCCCGTTTTATTACCATAAAATACAAGCCTTTTCTAAGGTCACTCCAGCCTTCTGTTTCACAAAGGAAGTAGGTAGAGACAAGGCTCAGTGAGAGTAGAGAGAAAGAGAACACCAAGTGCACACTTAAGCTGCCAATTACATGGTTTCACATCAATTTCCTATATATCCCAACACCTACCACAAAAAAGAATCCCAATTTTCAAGTTGTTAGACAAGGAATTCAAACATTAAGATTATATAGCTAGCTAATAGACATCAGTTGGAAAGAAGACAAAATTCAAGTCTGATTTCAAAGCTTATGCCTGCTGTACTATTTTTCACTGGCTCTCCTCAAAAACAAGCTATAATAAAGTCATAATTCAAAAGCAAATTTTACTATTAAAAAGTTCTAAAACACTAATGAGTTTAATTGAACTCACAGGTTTAATATTTTGTGTCTAATAAAGTATCGAACACAAATATTCATAATTCAATAGGCAACCTGACTGGGCATTTATGTAATTCACAAAGTGAGGCTTTGCCTTTATTCTCAACACTGTCTAAAGATCTCTTGCCTTGAAGTCAACACCACAACAGAGCATATTCTATGTATTGGGTCCAAAATTAAAAAGGAAAAACCGTAATAGCCAGGGTGGAGAAAGTAAAACAAAACAAAACAAAAAGTCACAACAAAATTCTAAGCTATGCTCTAAAGCTTTTCTAGAAGAAAAGTAATTCCAGCTTAAACCTAGACAGAAAAGACCATGCCAGTTGTGCTTTATCTTTTGGGACTGTCAGCAGTTCCAATCCCAAAGAGCTCAATTACCACTCTTCTTTTATTCTCTGTCACTTCCCTCCCTCTGAGGATCCTGACATCATTCAGGATCAAATCTAAAAGCACCGAGAGAATGAAATAGGCTAGAATTACTAAAACAAGGCAGTTTTCACTGTTTTCCTGAAGTCTTATGCATTAAAGATAAAGAATTATGACTTTATGACTTCAATCCTGATTGTTTAGGAAGCATTATTACTTTCACTTTCCTTATCATAAAGAAATATGCTATACTAGCAATGTGCATTATCTCTTGAGATACTAATGGAAATAAGTAAATCTCAATAGACTACTCCAAAATAAGTAGGAAAAACATGTACAACAGAGTAAAATAAGGTTATAAAATGAGTCTATTATAAATAACCATTTCTGCAAATAATACCATCATACTATATGCTTAAGGGATATTTCTTATCTTTTACACAAACTATTTTGATGTTAAGATGCACTACAAACTGTGATAATACATACACAGAGATTCTAGTAATGTCTTATTTAGAATATATTTTTCCAAGTGTTTTGAAAGGACATAAAACGAAGTCATAACTATCACACTATTTCTTTCTTTTTTGAGTATTATACCCTACTAGATATTCTATAGAAGCAATGTCCTGTATCTCAAACACATGCAAAATATTCACAAATACTATATTATATATTATTGGACTTCTTTGTTATCAATGAGATGGTTAATACTTAGTTTTATCTTAAATTACTAGTCAAAAAGAGGAATTTAAAAAAAAAACAAATCAGGAATCAAATTTGGGTATTTCTTACATACCAGACCCCAGGCAAGGATTAGTTTTATCTTAAATTACTAGTCAAAAAGAGGAATTTAAAAAAAAAACAAATCAGGAATCAAATTTGGGTATTTCTTACATACCAGACCCCAGGCAAGGAGCCATGGTGATAAAAAGATGTGATGGGCACTGTCACTATCTCAGTGACTTTCAATTAGATAGAACAAAAAGAAGAGTTTACAGATACTGTGTTGAGTAACCTGTGAACAATTTTGAATGATGTAATTTTAAAATGTTCTATATACATGCACATACATATACATGTATATACTCACTTCTTCTGTGGCAAGCCAATACACTAAAATTCTATGAGTTGTAACATTAATACAAGATTATTTTATTTTTTGTTTTGCTTTTTTTTTTCTATTTTTTTCCTTTTTTTTTTTTTTTTTTCGGTGCTGGGGACCGAACTCAGGGCCTTGCACTTGCCAGGCAAGCGCTCTTCCACTGAGCTAAATCCCCAACCCCACAAGATTACTTTAGATAATATGGTTAAAAATGATAGCTAACATTTAATGAACACTATTATAAGCTAGGTACTAAGCTAACAGATTTACATGTATTTACCCTCCTGCAAACCTTACAAAATAAGTAGTACTACCAACTTCATTTTTACAGACAAGAAAAGTAAAGGCTTACAAATATTAAGACTCTTACTCAAAGTTGCACAGCTCTGAAATGGGGAGAAATGTGGAGTCCATGTTCTTAACCACTACGTGCTCTTCTTCTCCATGTCAAATCATTCTTCTCCCATGACATTATCGCTCATGAAGACAGTTCTGTATAATGTATCTCTACCATTACAACATAAAATTTTTTAAAACTTATGTATACCTACATGGTAAGATTTAGACCTTGAAACCGCATTCACAGTAACTATTTTCATATTCTTACTCTCATTTTACTACTTGTTCCTTAAACCATTTATCTCAAACTAAACCATTTGCAGCTCTCATTTGAAGGTAACAATAGTTTATTTGCAAGAAAAAAAATCCTTGTGGAGGGGATGAATCTAATTAAGATATATTGTAGGAACTTCAGTAAATGTCATAATGTATCCTCCAGTACATTATTTTTTATTATATGCTAATAAAAAAGGAAAAAAATTCTTGGATTCTAGAAAACTCAAAAAGCTAACCTACTGCCTGTTTAAACAGACCTTTAAAATGAATAACAATTCTTTACACAACTAAATTGTGTATCTGTCCACATCTAGAAATTTAAATAGGCTAGATAAGATACCTGGATACAATATTAAAGATAAAAGAACAGAACAAATAACTAAAAAAAGGAGGATGAAAGGGCTGGTGGAGTGGGTCAAGTTGTAGAATGCCTGTCTAGCAAGTGTGAGGCCCTGAATTCAAACCCTTGTACTACCAAAAAAAAAGAAAAGAAAAGAAGGTAGGATGATAATCCCAGAAGCTTAGTGAAGTCACTGCAGCTAAGCACAAACTTAGTTATGTAAGTAACCAATGAAATCATAAATCATGATAAATTTTAGCTACTACAAAGAACAGCTTGTGATGATACAAGCTTCTTACAATTTAGTTTTTATAGAAATTCTCACAAAAGCATTAAAAGGTATTAAAACAATTGTATCAGTAACCATTTTGTTGTCATTTTTTACATAGACCACCATTAGATGCGCTTATTCATATTAACAATATCTTAAAATTGAGATTCTCAACCTTGGTGACTTTGTCCCCCAGGGAACATTTAGCAAAATCTGGAG